GGTTTGAAAAACCCCAGTAACATACCTTTTTTCCCCAACACCATAACACAAATGTTGCAACACCAAAACCCCTTTCACTTTTTTTTTTTAAAAACCGGGTAACATAACTGTTGAAACACCAGTAACATTTACACTGTTGCAACACCAGTAACACTCCCACGTTGCAACCCCAAATAAAACTTAACTGTTGAAACCCCAGTAAACAAAAACTGTTTGCCAAAAACCAGTAACACACCCTGTTGCAACACCTAACACTCCCCTTGTACCCCCAAAAACACTACACTGTTTGCAACCCCAGTAACACTACACTTTTTCCCAACACCAAAACACTCCCCGGGGAAACACCAAAACCCAATACCTGTTTGGAACACCAGTAACACTAAAAGGTTGAAAAAAAACCCAGTAACCTACACGTTCCACACCAGTAACACTAAAACTGTTGAACCCACCGGGAAAACTTAAAATGTTGTAACACCGTAACACTACACTTTTTAAAATTTGTAAACACCAGTAACACACACTGTTGCAAAACCAGTAACACTACCCTGTTGCCCAAAACAAAAAGTAAAAAAAACCTTGTAGCACTGGGAAACCCACCACTGTTGAACACCAGTAACACTCCCAACTTTAAAAACCAAGTAAACCAAAAACCAATTTTGGCAACCCATAACATTTACACTGTTGCAACCCCAGTAAAACTACACTTTTTCAAAAACCAGTAACACACACGGGTTGAAACCCCTTCCTTTTTTAACCCCAAAACCCCCTTTTGAAACCTTCTAAAAAACCAAAAACCTACACTTTTTGAACACCAGTAAATCACTTTGAACCCCAAAAGTAAACATTTTAACACTTTGAAAAATTTCACCAGAAAACACACATTTTTTGAAAACACCAGTAACCAAACACTGTTGCAACCCCAGTAACACTAAAAACTGTTGAAAACACCAGAAAACCACAAACACTGTTGCCCACCAGTAACACTACACTTTTTGGACACCAGAAAAAATACCTGTTGCAACACCATAACAACACTGTTGAAAAAACCAGAACATTTACACTGTTGCAACACCATAACATTTACAGTTCCCAACACCAAAAACCACAAACACTTTTGAACACCAGAAAACACTCCCTGTTGCAAAACCCCAGTAAAAAATTAAAATGTTGCAACACCAGTAACCTACACTGTTGCAACAAAAACCCCAAACACTTTTTGCAACCCCATTAACACAACATTTGTTGCAACACCAGTAAAATACACGTAGCCCCCAAGAAAACACACATTTGTTGAAACCGTAACCCCCTACACTGTTGCAACACCAGTAACACAAACCTTGAACACAGAAACACTACCTGTTGAACCCCGGGTAAACCCCTGTTGCAACACCGGGAACACAAAAATTGTTGAACACCTCACTCCATTGTTCCCAACACCAGAAAACACTACACTGTTGCAACCCAGAACCTACTTGTACCCACTAAAAAACCCACTACACTGTTGAAACCCCAGTAACACGCCCACTGTCTTTTTAACCCAATAACACTAAAATTTTTGCAACACCGTTAACACTACCCTTTTGAAACCCCAAAAACAGAAAACCCCCTACCAAAAATGTTGCCAAAAACCAGAAAACACAAACACTTTCCCAACCCCAGTCCCCTACACTGTGAAAACCACCATTAACACTCCACTTTAAAAAACACTTTAAAAAAAAACCCCAAAAACCCTTTTTTCCCTACCCCAAGTAACCCAAAACACGGGTTTGAACCCCAGTAACACAAAACACTGTTTGCAAACCCAAAACACTAAAAATGTTGAAAAAAACCCTTGTAACACTTCACTGTTGAAAACAAAAAGTAACACTATGAAACCTTGAAAACCCCAAAACACTTTGAACACAGAAAAACACTACACTGGCCCCCCAAACATATAAAAACACGGGTTGAACCCCATTTAACACTATTTTTTAACATTGTAACACTAAATTTTTTGAACACTGTAACATTTCCCAAGGTTGAACCCTTAAAAACACAAAACTTTGGGGTTAAACACTAGTAAAAAACATTTTTGAAACACCAGAAACACAAAAATTTTGAAAAAACCAGTAAAATACTTTGAAACCTAGAAACATACATGTTTTAACCCCAGTAAATACATGTGAACCCCATAACACTTTTGTTGAACCAGTAACACTAAGGGGTTGAACACAGTAACACTACATTTTTTAAACAAAGTAAACATTTACTTGTAACCAATAAGTACATTTTGTCATTAGAAAAAATTTTTTTAACACAAAAAAACACTGGGGTTTAACACTTTCCAAAAGTGTTGAAAACACCCATTTTTTAAACCCAAAACCTTGAAACCCACCCCTTGTAACATAGTGTTTAACCCCAGAACATATTTTTAACCCTAGTAACACAAAAATGGGGAAACCCCCAAATAAAAAAATACTTGTTTAACCAAAAACATACACTGCTGTAACACAAGAAACATTTACATGTTGTAAAAAAACCTACAGTTTGTAACATTTAGTAACACTAAAAATTTTTTTTGTAACACTAGAAAACACTACAGGGGTTGAAAAAACTAGTAACACACAGTTTTGTAACAGTAACCTACAGTGTTGTAACACTAAAAAAATACAGTTTGTAACATTAGAAACCCCTCCCTTGGGGTTAAAATAGTAAACACAGTTTGAAACATTAGTAACAAAAGTGTTGAAAACAAAGTAACACAAAGGTTGTAAAACGAAACATCCCAATTTGTTTGAAACATTAGTAACACTACATGTTTTTTAACTTAGTAACATAAGTGTTGTAACTTTAAAAATATTCACCCCCCGTTTGAAAACACAAAGTAAACTACATTTTAACTTTAGTAAAATTTCCCCGTTTTGGGGTAACAAGAAAAAGTTTAAAAAAAAAAAAGGTTTGTTGAAACACTGAAACTAAGTGTTGAACATTAGTAACACTACAGTTTTGTAAAAAGTAAACACTAAAATTGTGTAACACTAGTAACACAAAAATTTTGAAAACTTTAGTAACACTCATTTTTTAAACACAAATTTTTTGTAAAAAAACACAAATTGTAACAAAAAACCCCCTTTTTTTAAAAACAAGTAAAACAAACTGGTAACCCCAGTAAAAACAAACACTGTTTTTTTAACCCATATTAACACTACATTTTTAACCAAAAAATTTTGTAAACATTTGTAACAAACAGGTGTTGTAACATACCCCTTTCCTAGAAAACCAACATTTTTAACATTGAACATTCCTTTTAACACTAGTGTGTAAACTACATTTCAAAAACACTACAGTGTTTTGGTAACATAATTTTTTGGGTAACCCCAACAGTTTTTGGGGGGAAAACACAAAAACATTTTTGGGGGAACCTCTTACCTGGTTCCCGTTGGGGGTTAAAAACTACAGGTTTGGGGGAAAAAAATCCCGTTGGGGGAAAAACACTGGGTGTTGTGAAAACCCACAATTGTGATTTAACACTAGTTTTTGAACACTAGTGTTGTGAGTAACACTAGGGGTTTTTAACCCCAGTTTTGGTGAGTTAACAAAAAGTGTTGTGATAACACTAGTTTTGGGTTTTACCACTACAGGGGTTGTTAAAAACACAACAGTGTTCTACCGACCGGGAAAAAAAAGGGCCTGGTTCAAGTCGAACCAAACATCGTCAGGGGAATACAGGGGTAAAGGGGGAGGGGAAAATTTTGTCAGCTCAGGACTTCCACACATCGCTGTCTTAATCGGGGAGCTATGAAATGTTGCAAGAGTATAACCCCCCCTGGAGGGAGAAGAAGTTACCCCTTTGGGGGGAAAGGAATGTTAAATTCCCGGGTTTTATTCCCCCTATTCCTGAGGGGGAATGGGAAAATTTTCCCTAAACGGGAAAACCAATCCCAAAAAATTGGGGTGTGGGCCAGTGGCTTTTTTTTAGTCCATTTTTGGGAGAAAGGTGAACCAAAGAGGGGGGGGTTTTGATCAGTCCCCGCACCCCAGGATTTTGAGGGTGCCCTTTCATCAATCTTGACCCATGTACACAAAAAATTTTCCCCAAGGGAAAAGGGACTGTTATCTGTAAAATTTTTCATCAGTCAAAAGTATATCAGTCCCTCCTCTGTGTACGCCCCCCCTCACTCAGCCCATACTCGTTTTACTGCTGCATCTGACCATGTGTCTGGCAGCCCTGCGCCAACCATGGTTTTAAAGGGTGGAGTGGTCATGTGCCCACACAGGTCATAATTCGGATGGGGATTTGTAATTTTCATTATTACATTTATACAGTACCTACGTAAAAACCCATTAAAAATATCCCCAGAAATGTTAAAATTTTGGTCCCAAAGGTGACTTTTAAAAAAAAATTATCAAAGATACAAAAAAAACCCATACCATTAAGTTTGTTCCTCATTGGAATGAATTCTTTTAACAATTTTGGTTTTTCAGGAAAGGAAAACCCCGGGGTCTTTTAAGTAAAGGAGAGGCTTTAAATGCTCAACACTTTGGAGTGAACACATCAGCCCCAAAGGCGGGGGAACTAATGAACCCACACTCATTGTCCACTTTTCTTTTGCACTCAACGGGAAGAAAGCCCACTGGCTGATTCCCTATTTGTGTATTGTTCCGGGTTTTGGGGAAAACCCCAAAAATTCCCTGCCTCAGGAGTAGGCAAATAAGGGGGGTTGGAAAAACCTAACCTCCTCTCAGAGATAATTTTCCCCTAAAATCCACTTGCTGATGCTCTTTGAAATACTGCATTTTTTCCGGGATGAATACAGATGGGAAAAAGATCCTGAGTTGTTTTCCCCATCCCCCCCCCATAAAATTTTTTTTTGTTTTTAAAGGGATCCCTCTCTGCAATAAAAAGGGCAAAGCAATGAAAAAATTTAACCCCCTCAGGAAAAAAAAAAAAAAAAGGTCAGACCAAGTGCCCCCCCCACCCGGGGGCCCCTTTTGAATTCCCTAAAGACGTGAATTTTTACCTGTTGAGATGTGAACTCGAGCAGGTCTGGCAGGTCAGCGTCGGGATGGATAGGGCGACCTAGGTCATCCAGGTCGCGCAGGTCGAAGTCATCCAGGTGGTGGTAGGGGGTGCATGGGGTGGTAGGGGCAGGGTGAGGGCAGTAGTGGTGGTGGAGGAGGGAGAGGAGGGTATGAGCATAGATAGGTCCAGGGATGCCACGCTCCTCCAGTTCACCTGACAGCCACTCCACCACCAGTGATGGTGCCCACTCACACCTGACTACCTTCATAACACCTGTAAACACTAAATATTATTACAAACAACACTATTAATGCAAACACAAAATATTTCTACAAACAACACAAACTATTAATCCCAACATAATCTGGCATTGTAAACATGATTTTAGACAAGTGACTGTGTATAGAAGAGACATAAGAGAACTGACTGTATACAGTGGAGATTTATAAGAGAACTGACTGTATATAGTGGAGATTTATAAGAGAACTGACTGTATATAGTGGAGATTTATAAGAGGACTGTATACTGTGGAGATTTATAAGAGAACTGACTGTATATAGTGGAGATTTATAAGAGGACTGTATACTGTGGAGATTTATAAGAGGACTGTATACTGTGGAGATTTATAAGAGTACTGTATATTGTGGAGATTTGTAAGAAAACCTTATTGGAAAATCCCAAAATTTACTAAACCCATCTCTAATAAACTCGGTGAAAAACGAAGCAACAGAGCCTAACCAATTTACTACCACTAGTCTGGCAGTAAATTAGTTAGTCTGTGTTGTCACTCACTTCTGCAACTCTATGCAACAAATCATTAGAATTTGCAACTCTCCTAACAATGCTTAACCCTTGTAGTGTCTGTCATGTAGCTCTACCTCACTGAGGTCAGGGGTCCCTCATACAGATCTATGTCACTGACACCAGGGTCCCTCATATAGATCTATGTCACTGACACCAGGGTCCCTCATATAGACTATGTCATGACACCAGGGTCCCTCATATAGATCTATGTCTGACACCAGGGTCCCTTCATATAGATCTATGTCACTGACACCAGGGCCCCTCATATAGATCTATGTCACTGACACCAGGGTCCCTCATATAGATCTATGTCACTGACACCAGGGTCCCTCATATAGATCTATGTCACTGACACCAGGGTCCCTCATATAGATCTATGTCACTGACACCAGGGTCCCTCATACAGATCTATGTCACTGACACCAGGGTCCCTCATATAGATCTATGTCACTGACACCAGGGTCCCTCATATAGATCTATGTCACTGACACCAGGGTCCCTCATATAGATCTATGTCACTGACACCAGGGTCCCTCATACAGATCTATGTCACTGTTATATCTTTGAAATTGTTCATCCTGTGTTATTTAACTGTTGTAAGAGAAAATGTTCATCACTTAATATTATAGCGCGAAAGTCCCCGTTTATAGCTAAAATAGAGACTTTCTGCGTTATATTATTATCTGTTAATATATGAAAAATACCATGGTATTATCATTATTATCACTATTATCGTTATTATCACTATTATCGTTATTATCACTATTATCGTTATCACTATTATCGTTATTATCACTATTATCGTTATTATCACTATTATCGTTATTATCACTATTATCGTTATTATCACTATATTGTTATTATCACTATTTTGGTATTATTAATATTTTTTACTATTATCACTATTATTTTAGTATTATTGTTAGGTAGAATTTCTTGTGTATATAGAGTTTAAGTCTCGGAACCATCCGGTGAATTGTTCAATTGTTTATGTCCGGCTGGCTGACGTGGCTCAGCTGATCCAACCTGACGACACGTCAACAGACTGGCAAGTAGTCAGTCTGCTCCCTGCTCTAGCCCTGACAACTGATCGTATATTGGCTCTTACGGTGTAGAGTTGAAGGGTTTTTTTGAGAATTGGACTCAAGAGCTGACTCAATTTGTTCCTCATTACTTTGAAAGACTCTTTTGAAAATTTTTTATTCTTGGTCAGTTCCCGTAATCCATAGAGATACTTTACGGCCAGATTCAAAGGTCTTGTTAAATCTTGTACCTTTTGTATTTTGAGTTTACAGTCTTGTTAAGAAAGAGACGTAAATATTAATGAGGACTTAGATACAGGAAGAATAATTAAACTTCCTTATTAATATGACATTTCCATGATTTTGAACTAAATGAATATGGTAAATTTATTGTACAAAGTATTAAGTTAAATTAACTACAAAGAGAAGATAATGTATTGTATTTAAATACTTCATTTAAAGAACTCGAATCCAAAAATCTTGTTGCATAAGAAATAAATGGTAACAGGCCACATTCTGAAGTTCTTTAAAAAATTTCTTATTCGCAACAGTCACTGACACCAGGGTCCCTCATATAGATCTATGTCACTGACACCAGGGTCCCTCATATAGATCTATGTCACTGACACCAGGGTCCCTCATATAGATCTACGTTACTGACACCAGGGTCCCTCACATAGATCTATGTTACTGACACCAGGGTCCCTCATAGATCTATGTCACTGACACCAGGGTCCCTCATACAGATCTATGTCACTGACACCAGGGTCCCTCATACAGATCTGTCACTGACACCAGGGTCCCTCACATAGATCTATGTTACTGACACCAGGGTCCCTCATATAGATCTATGTTACTGACACCAGGGTCCCTCACATAGATCTATGTTACTGACACCAGGGTCCCTCATATAGATCTATGTTACTGACACCAGGGTCCCTCACATAGATCTATGTTACTGACACCAGGGTCCCTCCCCATAGATCTATGTTACTGACACCAGGGTCCCTAACATAGATCATGTTACTGACACCATGGTCCCTAACATAGATCTATGTTACTGACAAACCCGGGTCCCCCAACATAGATCTATGTTACTGACACCAGGGTCCCTAACATAGATCTATTTTACTGGGCACCAGGGTCCCTCACATGAGCTCAAAATCACTAGATAAGTGGTTTAGTGGTAAATATGTGTTAGATTTTGAACGTTGTGTGGTGAGCGTGCACAATATAATATAAATCCCGCCCCACGCACTGCAGATGGGAAAAACAAATTATATGTGGTTTATAATAGTGACTTTGAGGTGTTTTATCAAATGGTATTTTATAGTTTCATTGATAGAATGGAAGACAATGCTGAAATAGAGATAATTTTGATTGGTTTCAGAACAGGTAGTAGACTGAAATTGAGCTCCAAATAGCGGAAGTACAGTGGACCCCCGCTTAACGATCACCTCCCAATGCGACCAATTATGTAAGTGTATTTATGTAAGTGCGTTTGTACGTGTATGTTTGGGGGTCTGAAATGGACTAATCTACTTCACAATATTCCTTATGGGAACAAATTCGGTCAGTACTGGCACCTGAACATACTTCTGGAATGAAAAAATATTGTTAACCGGGGGTCCACTGTAATTGATTTTTGCTGATATTTGAGAGGACAGGTAAGGTCCCCTACAACACCCAGTTTGTTATATGGGTTGTTAATACATCTGGTTCTGTTATTGAGATGCTGTAAACCATGAACAATCATTTCTGGTTATATTTAATTATCCAAGAAATAGGGTAAATCTTCTTTTTGTGTGTGAATAAGAATTCAATACATCAGTCAAGTGCAACATAGAAGAGACTAATGAACCGAGGAAATGTTTTAGTGCCAGCAATGTGTATATTGTTTATTTTGGTAATTAAAACAGTTGAATGGGGTGTTGTCTTGTGGTCAGTCAATTGAGAAACTGCCCATTCAACCATTTCAACTACCCTACAGTGATCAGAATTCAGTTACTTGGCCAATTTTACACAAAATTACAAAAAAAAAAAGCCAATTTAATAAGTCTATAATAAACAATATAGACATTGCTGACACTAAAACAATATTTCCTCACTAGTAACGTCTCCAGGTCTCTCCTATATAACACTTGGCTTCCATTTGAGATTCTTATTCAAACAAAAAACAGAAGATTTACTCTATTTTTTGGATAATAAAATATAACCTGGAAAAATTGTTCATGGTTTGCAGAATCACAATAACTCATAAACCAGACTGGGGGTTATAGGGGAGGGGTCCTTACCTGTTCTCTGGAATATAAGCAAAAATCAAATATTTCCGCATTTTTGAGCTCAATTTCGACCTACTTCCAGTCTTGAAACCAATCAAAATCATTTCTATTTCAGCAGTGTCTTCCATTTAATCAAATGCTACCAAGAAACAGCCAATAAAACCATAAAAACCATTTGAAAAAACATCTTAAAATCACTATTGTAAACCAGACACAAGGTCACAGTTTTGTTTTTCCCATCATGCAGTGCGTGGGGGCAGGATTTATATTATATTGTGCATGCTCACCACACAACGTTCATATCTAACACAATATTTACCACTCACAACTTATCTAGGTGAGTTGAGCTCATAATGTAGACATCTCTATGTGAGGGACCCTGGTGTCAGTAACATAGATCTATGTGAGGGACCCTGGTGTCAGTAACATAGATCTATGTTAGGGACCCTGGTGTCAGTAACATAGATCTATGTTAGGGACCCTGGTGTCAGTAACATAGATCTATGTTAGGGACCCTGGTGTCAGTAACACAGATCTATGTGAGGGACCCTGGTGTCAGTAACATAGATCTATGTGAGGGACCCTGGTGTCAGTAAACATAGATCTATGTTAGGGACCCTGGTGTCAGTAACATAGATCTATGTTAGGGACCCTGGTGTCAGTAACATAGATCTATGTTAGGGACCCTGGTGTCAGTAACACAGATCTATGTGAGGGACCCTGGTGTCAGTAACATAGATCTATGTGAGGGACCCTGGTGTCAGTAACATAGATCTATGTGAGGGACCCTGGTGTCAGTAACATAGATCTATGTGAGGGACCCTGGTGTCAGTAACATAGATCTATGTGAGGGACCCTGGTGTCAGTAACATAGATCTATGTGAGGGACCTGGTGTCAGTAACATAGATCTATATGAGGGACCCTGGTGTCAGTAACATAGATCTATATGAGGGACCCTGGTGTCGTAACATAGATCTATGTGAGGGACCCTGTGTCAGTAACATAGATCTATGTGAGGGACCCTGGTGTCAGTAACATAGATCTATATGAGGGACCCTGGTGTCAGTAACATAGATCTATGTGAGGGACCCTGGTGTCAGTAACATAGATCTGTGTTAGGGACCCTGGTGTCAGTAACATATATGTGTTAGGGACCCTGGTGTCAGTAACATAGATCTATGTGAGGGACCCTGGTGTCAGTAACATAGATCTATGTGAGGGACCCTGGTGTCAGTAACATAGATCTATGTGAGGGACCCTGGTGTCAGTAACATAGATCTGTGTTAGGGACCCTGGTGTACAGTAACATAGATCTATGTTAGGGACCCTGGTGTCAGTAACATAGATCTATGTGAGGGACCCTGGTGTCAGTAACATAGATCTATGTGAGGACCCTGGTGTCAGTAACATAGATCTATGTTAGGGACCCTGGTGTCAGTAACATAGATCTATGTTAGGGACCCTGGTGTCAGTAACATAGATCTATGTTAGGGACCCTGGTGTCAGTAACAGATCTATGTTAGGGACCCTGGTGTCAGTAACATAGATCTATGTGAGGAACCCTGGTGTCAGTAAACATAGATCTATGTGAGGGACCCTGGTGTCAGTAACATAGATCTATGTGAGGGACCCTGGTGTCAGTAACATAGATCTGTGTTAGGGACCCTGGTGTCAGTAACATGATCTATGTTAGGGACCCTGGTGTCAGTAACATAGATCTATGTGAGGGACCCTGGTGTCAGTAACATAGATCTATGTGAGGGACCCTGGTGTCAGTAACATAGATCTATGTTAGGGACCCTGGTGTCAGTAACATAGATCTATTTTAGGGACCCTGGTGTCAGTAACATAGATCTTATGTTAGGGACCCTGGTGTCAGTAACAGATCTATGTTAGGGACCCTGGTGTCAGTAACATAGATCTATGTGAGGAACCCTGGTGTCAGTAACATAGATCTATGTGAGGGACCCTGGTGTCAGTAACATAGATCTATGTGAGGGACCCTGGTGTCAGTGACATAGATCTATGTGAGGGATCCTGGTGTCAGTAACATAGAACTATGTGAAGGATCCTGGTGTCAGTAACATAGATCTATGTGAGGGATCCTGGTGTCAGTAACATAGATCTATGTGAAGGATCCTGGTGTCAGTATTATTATTATTATAATCAAGGGGGAAGCGCTAAACCCGGAGGATTATACAGCGCCTGGGGGGGGGGATGTGGAAGGCATTCAGGCTTAATTCGGGGAACTGGAGCACAGATCCAATTCCCTAAATCAAGAGCCCCTCACCAACATCAAGGAACCTTCCTTGAGGGGCCTGGTGTCAGTAACATAGGTCTATGTGAGGGACCCTGGTGTCAGTAACATAGATCTATGTGAGGGATCCTGGTGTCAGTAACAGATCTAGGTGAGGGACCCTGTTGTCAGTAACATATATCTATGTGAGGGACCCTGGTGTCAGTAACATACATCTATGTGAGGGACCCTGGTGTCAGTAACAGATCTATGTGAGGGACCCTGGTGTCAGTAACATACATCTATGTGAGGGACCCTGGTGTCAGTAACATACATCTATGTGAGGGACCCTGGTGTCAGTAACATACATCTATGTGAGGGACCCTGGTGTCAGTAACATACATCTATGTGAGGGACCCTGGTGTCAGTAACAGATCTATGTGATGGACCCTGTTGTCAGTAACATACATCTATGTGAGGGACCCTGTTGTCAGTAACATACATCTATGTGAGGGACCCTGGTGTCAGTAACATACATCTATGTGAGGGACCCTGGTGTCAGTAACATACATGTATGTGAGGGGACCCTGTGTCCATAACATACATCAATGTGAGGGACCTTGTTGTCAATAACACTGATCTATGTGACGGACATTGAAAAGGTTTATCAGTTTACTATGTTTTAAAATCTAGTTTTGAGATAAATACAAGATTACTTAACTAATTCCTCCATAATTATGATAGAAAATATTAATAAACACACAGTACTAACCTTAAACTCTTCAGTCGGTGAGAAAATATTGGTCGTTTTCATGTCGTTATCGATGTGGTAATTACTGTGGGGGTGGTTAAGTGGTTGTAGTTACGTGGTTGTTGTTGTGTGGTTGTAGTTATGTGGTTGTGGTTATGTGGTTGTGTTTGGGGTTATGTGGTAAACTTATTCAAAGAAAAATCGAAGAATTGGGAAATCCAACATAAACAAGGTGGTGCTAACGAAACTTACAAAAATCAACGAAAAATAAAAAAACCTGTGCTGGTACGTTTACGCTCGGCACATAGCGAGGCTCTACAAATATTTCTCTATCTAGAGCCCTAAGACACAGGCTCTAGACGAGAGGGGTCCCTCCATGCGCAGCTGTGTGTGACGGCTCCTTGGTGGCTGCTGCGTGTCGGTCCAGCCAAGAGGCCGGCGTCTCGACCCCCCAGACTCGCAACTCGGCGAGTACGACTCGCAGCAGAGTGATCTTGGGGAAACTCAGCTCTATGGTGGGGGATAAGAGAGGCTAATATTGTCCACAGTTCCGTAGTTACGACCTTGTTAGGGACTACTTGGTGGTACAAACGACCTTGTTAAGGACTACTTGGTGGTACAAACGACCTTGTTAAGGACTACTTGGTGGTACAACCGACCTTGTTAAGGACTACTTGGTGGTACAAATAACCTTGTTGAGGACTACTTGGTACAAATGACCTTGTTAAGAACTACTTGGCGATTCAAAATACCTCGTTCAGGACTACTTGGTGGTAAAAATGACCTTGTTGAGGGCTACTTGGTGACACAAATGACCTTGATGAAGACTCTTCTTGAAGGTACAAATGACCTATCTTAAGACTCTAAGACCACGACTGGTTCAAAAACAAGAGTCCTGGAGGACAAGTGCATCTGTGGAGCCTATAGTGATCACGCACTATGAAAAAAGTGAATTTCGATAGGCTTATGCTGCACCAGTAATGCTATATTATAATGCTATATTATAGAGCCATCAATGGCTCTACAATACCAGCTCTAAATGAGAGGTGCTCTTGTGGTTGGATTTTATGATAACAGAGCTGCTGGTGCTCTGAATTGTGTTGACTTCAGAGAAATTTCACTATGATAGAGCCAGGAATTGCTCTAAAATACAAACTCAGATGATAGGTATCCTTGTAGCAGCAGCAGCTGTAGACTTCACTATGACAGAACCAGGAACGACTCTTTAAAACACAAACTCTAGATGATAGATGTCCCTGTAGCAGCAGCAGCAGCAGCAGCTGTAGACTTCACTATGACAGAGCCAGGAACGACTCTTTAAAACACAAACTCTAGATGATAGGTGTCCTTGTATCAGCAGCTGCAGACTTCACTCTATGACAGAGCCAGGAACGACTCTTGTAAACACAAACTCTAGATGATAGATGTCCCTGCAGCAGGTACAAACTTTGCTCTACGACAGTCAGTGCCGGAACACACAAAGACTAACACTACACCAGTTGGATAAGACAGTCAGTCTCCTCGCTGAATCTCAACTGGTGAAACAAAGTGGTACGTGTGGAGCTTATAACGTAAGCCTAAATACAAGTTTTCCCCACAAACTCAAAATACAATTTCCTAGCTTGTACGTCTGCTGGTTTAGACACCACGTGTGATGCAACAGAAGCAGAGGTAACTATAAACAGGGAAGAACGAGTAGGAAACGAGCTAAGGGGTTGTGTCGTAGGGGGTTAGTCTGGGGGTTAGTTTCAGGCAGCAGTCATGGTGGAGGCGGTTACTGGAGGCGGCGGCGGCGACGGCGGAGGCACAACGGGCGAGGCAGCGGTTCCTGAGGGGGGCGTGGACCTCGAGCGCTCACCACACCGCCTCCACACATCTTGCCTGCCAAATATAAACAACATTAATAATGGTACCTTAAAGAACATTAACTCACAATACTGTGACTGGAACAATACACAGACAACTCACACATGGGAGAGAAGAGCTTAAGGTGTCACGTAGGTGGCTCACTATTGCACTCAACTCACATACTGAGGTCTGGGGATCAATCCCCCGGCATGACCAGAAAACATCAGGATGTGTTTCCATAAGGCACCTGTTGTCTCTGTTCACCCATCAGTAAAACAGGTACCTGGGTGTTAGTCGGCTGGTGTGGGTTTCATCCTGGGTGTTAGTGGACTGGTGTGGGTTGCATTTTGGGTGTTAGTGGACTGGTGTGAGGTCACATCCTGGGACAAAATTGACCTAATTTGCAGGAAATGCTCAGCATAACAAGGGATTTTCTATATAGTAGTATGTCACTGATGTCAGTTATGGTCTGTATACCTTGTACATGTACTGGTAGAAACAAAAATATTATTATTACATCAATGTTTCAGCCCCACTCAAACCATTTACAAAGTCACACTGGCAGAAATCGTACACCAAATCCAGTCATTCCTGGAGTGGAACCACAGTCGATGGCCTCCACTCCAAACCAACAGATACAGATACTAATGCCGGAAAAAAAATCCCCCCCCAGTACCAACAATACCACCAGTCCGATAACATTCTTCTTTGCAAATATACAGGGTCTAAAGCCAGCAACAAACAACAAAATACCTTTCATCCGTGGACTGCTTGCAGAGGCAAAGGCAATGTTCGCGGCTTTCACGAGACCCACATAAAGGATCACTTGGACAACGAAATATGGATCCCAGGTTACAACCTATACAGATGTGACAGAGTGAACAGGCAAAAGGGGGGGGTTGGCCTGTACATTGCAGAGTCACTTGTTTGCACAGAACTGCTTAATGCCTCAAATGACGTAGTGGAAGTTTTAGCAGTAAAGGTCGAGAATCAAAACCTAGTCATTGTGGTAGTCTACAAGCCTCCGGATGCAACATCCCAGCAATTCCAGGAACAGCTGTTAAAAATTGACCACTGTCTGGAAAATCTTCCAGCTCCTGCACCCAACATCTTGCTCCTGGGGGATTTCAACTTAAGGCACCTAAAATGGAGGAATATAGCAAATAATATTGTTGCAGTAATAACACCAGGAGGCAGCTCTGATGAAAACTCACACTCACACGAGCTTTTAAATCTCTGCACCAAATTCAATTTAAACCAGCAAATAATAGAGCCTACTAGACTGGAGAATACACTAGACCTCATATTCACTAACAATGATGATCTGATAAGAAATGTCACCATATCAAAAACAATATACTCAGATCACAACATAATTGAGGTTCAGACATGTATGCGTGGAGCCCCAGACCGACAAAATGAGACTAGTCACGAGGGAGCATTCACCAAATTCAACTTCAATAACAAAAACATAAAGTGGGACCAAGTAAAACCAAGTCCTAACCGATATAAGCTGGGAAGATATACTAAGCAACACAGACCCAAACTTATGCCTAGAACAGATTAACTCGGTGGCACTCGATGTATGCACAAGGCTTATTCCTCTAAGAAAAAGGAGGAGTAGATGTAAAATAGAAAGAGACAGGCGCTCCCTTTACAGGCGACGGAAAAGAATAACAGAGCGGCTAAAAGAGGTCAATATATCTGAAATGCGCAGGGAGACACTGGTCAGAGAAATAGCAAGCATCGAACTTAAGCTAAAAGAATCCTTTAGGAGTCAGGAATCGCGGGAAGAACTAAAAGCCATAAATGAAATCGAAAGAAACCCAAAGTATTTCTTCTCCTATGCCAAATCAAAATCGAGAACAACGTCCAGTATTGGGCCCCTACTTAAACAAGATGGGTCCTACACAGATGACAGCAAGGAAATGAGTGAGCTACTCAAGCCCCAATATGACTCAGTTTTTAGCAAGCCGCTAACCAGACTGAGAGTCGAAGATCAAAATTAATTTTTTATGAGAGAGCCACAAAATTTGATTAACACAAGCCTATCCGATGTTATCCTGACGCCAAATGACTTCGAACAGGCGATAAATGACATGCCCATGCACTCTGCCCCAGGGCCAGACTCATGGAACTCTGTGTTCATCAAGAACTGCAAGAAGCCCCTATCACGAGCCTTTTCCATCCTATGGAGAGGGAGCATGGACACGGGGTCGTCCCTCAGTTACTAAAAACAACAGACATAGCCCCACTCCACAAAGGGGGCAGTAAAGCAACAGCAAAGAACTACAGACCAATAGCACTAACATCCCATATCATAAAAATCTTTGAAAGGGTCCTAAGAAGCAAGATCACCACCCATCTAGAAACACCCATCAGTTACACAACCCAGGGCAACATGGGTTTAGAACAGGTCGCTCCTGTCTGTCTCAACTACTGGATCACTACGACAAGGTCCTAAATGCACTAGAAAAAAAAAGAATGCAGATGTAATATATACAGACTTTGCAAAAGCCTTCGACAAGTGTGACCATGGCGTAATAGCGCACAAAATGTGCGCTAAAGGAATAACAGAAAAGTCGGTCGATGGATCTATAATTTCCTCACTAACAGAACACAGAGAGTAGTCGTCAACAGAGTAAAGTCCGAGGCAGCTACGGTGAAAAGCTCTGTTCCACAAGGCACAGTACTAGCTCCCATCTTGTTCCTCATCCTCATATCCGACAGACAAGGATGTCAGCCACAGCACCGTATCTTCCTTTGCAGATGACACCCGAATCTGCATGACAGTGTCTTCCATTGCAGACACTGCAAGGCTCCAGGCGGACATCAACCAAATCTTTCAGTGGGCTGCGAAAACAATATGAAGTTCAACGATGAGAAATTTCAATTACTCAGATATGGTAAACATGAGGAAATTAAATCTTCATCAGAGTACAAAACAAATTCTGGCCACAAAATAGAGCGAAACACCAACGTCAAAGACCTGGGAGTGATTATGTCGGAGGATCTCACCTTCAAGGACCATAACATTGTATCAATCGCATCTGCTAGAAAATGACAGGATGGATAATGAGAACCTTCAAAACTAGGGAGGCCAAGCCCATGATGACACTCTTCAGGTCACTTGTTCTATCTAGGCTGGAATATTGCTGCACTCTAACAGCACCTTTCAAGGCAGGTGAAATTGCCGACCTAGAAAATGTGCAGAGAACTTTCACGGCGCGCATAACGGAGATAAAACACCTCAATTACTGGGAGCGCTTGAGGTTTCTAAACCTGTATTCCCTGGAACGCAGGAGGGAGAGATACATGATTATATACACCTGGAAAATCCTAGAGGGACTAGTACCGAACTTGCACACGAAAATCACTCACTACGAAAGCAAAAGACTTGGCAGACGATGCACCATCCCCCCAATGAAAAGCAGGGGTGTCACTAGCACGTTAAGAGACCATACAATAAGTGTCAGGGGCCCGAGACTGTTCAACTGCCTCCCAGCACACATAAGGGGGATTACCAACAGACCCCTGGCAGTCTTCAAGCTGGCACTGGACAAGCACCTAAAGTCAGTTCCTGATCAGCCGGGCTGTGGCTCGTACGTTGGTTTGCGTGCAGCCAGCAGCAACAGCCTGGTTGATCAGGCGCTGATCCACCAGGAGGCCTGGTCACAGACCGGGCCGCGGGGGCGTTGACCCCCGAAACTCTCTCCAGGTAAACTCCAGGTAGCTTAAGTAAGAGTGCTGAGGAAACAGGATGAGTGTTTCCTGATACTGTTCCCAGTTATATGACTCCCTATTGCAGCTTTTGATCCTCTGACCTATGTCTTAGGTTATGTTAGGTTAGGTTACATTAGGCTAGGTTAGGTTATGATAGCTTAGATTACATTAGGTTAGGTGGGTTAGGTTACATTAGGCTAAGCTAGACTAAGTTACATTAGGCTAGGTTACATTTAATTGGGTTTACCTGGAGTTTACTTGGAGAGGGTTTCAGGGGTCAACGCCCCCACAGCCCAGTCTGAGACCAGGTCTCATGGTGGATCAGGGTCTGATCAACCAGGCTGTTACTGCTGGCCGCACGCAAGCTTACGAACCACAGCCCGATTGGTCAGGTACTGACTTTAGGTGCCTGTCCAGTGCCCTCTTAAAGACAGCCAGGGGTCTACTGGTAATCCCCCTTATGTATGCTGGAAGGCAACTGAACAGTCTTCGGCCCCGGACACTTATTGTGTTGTCTCTCAGTGTACTCATGGCGCCTCTGCTTTTCATTGGGGGAATGTTGCATCTCCTGCCGAGTCTTTTACTTTCATAGGGAATGATTTTTGTGTGCAGGTTTGGTACTAATCCCTCCAGGACCTTCCAAGTGTATATTATCATGTATCTTTCTCGCCTGCATTGGAGTGAATACAGATCAAGGACCTCCAACTGTTCCAAGTAGTTTAGGAGTCTTATCGTACTTGTGTGTGCTGTGAAAGTTCTTTGTACACTCTCCAGGTCTGTAATGTCACCAGCCTTGAAGGGGGCCGTTAACGTACAGCAGTATTCCAGCCTAGAGAGCACAAGTGATCTGAAGAGAGTCATGGGCTTGGCATCCTTAGTTTTGAAGGTTCTCATTATCCATCCTATCATTTTCCTAGCGGATGAGATAGATACATTATTGTGGGCTTTGAAGGCGAGATCCTCTGACATTATCACTCCCAGGTCCTTCACATTACTTTTCTGCTCTATTGTATGATTAGAATTTGTGGTATACCCTGACACATTTTTAATTTCTTCAAGTTTCCCATATCTGAGTAGTTGACATTTTTCCTCGTTGAACTTCATATTGTTTTGAGTGGCCCATTCGAAAATTTGGTTGATGTCTGCTTGGAGTCTCGTGGTGTCTTTGATGGAGGTCACTGCCATGGTAATCCGGGTGCCATCCGCAAAGGAAGACACAAAATTATGGCTTACATCTCTATGTCAGAAATGAGGACGAGGAATAGAATGGCAGCGAGTACTGTGCCTTGTGGAACAGAGCTTTTTACAGT